TTTCAGAGGCAATAAACTGCACAGATCGACCATCTCTCCCCCTTGGGGCAGGCAGTGGATTCGCAAAGCTATCAGTAACTGACTGTTAATGCTCCCAAGGAGATTCCAATACACAGCCAAAGTGAGATGCAAGGTAAGGCACAGCTGGTGGATTGAATCACATTTATCTCTGCCTTGGCAACACAATTCCTTACTACTAAGCCACCAGTGCTTTCCTGTAGAGACTATATATAGAGGAACTAAAAATAAGCAGTGTTGGGTTTTAACAGTCTTCTCACCAAGATTCTTGGGGGGAAGAAGCTTTCAAGGCATCTTTCAGTTATAAAGCATATATAAATAGATTTACGAATACGTGAGAAGGGAAAGCAAAAGCAATGTCCAAGAGCTCAAATATCAATGAAATCACACTTGAAAGGAAATCCACAGGTCAAATTTGTAAGTATCAAAGTATGACTTTTAACTAAGTAAGTGTACTGTAGTTTCAGAAGAGAAAGTCTATGTGGTCCCCCACCCCTTTCTTCTGTGTACTGTAGAATCAGATCAGACTAGCACAGGAGGAGACTGCCCCTCCTTCTCCAGTGGAGCCATGTGGTAGATTTGAACTGCGTGCCTTCGGGAGGTTTATAGCACAGCTTCTTGCCACTAGGCCACCAGAGCTCCCACAAAGTCTATGCTCTTAAGACACACAGAACTACACATGAAAAGGAAGCACATTGTAGTTACAATTTTCTGAAAAATTTAGAGGAAAGGACATATGCATGCAAGAAAAGTAGAGCTAATAAATGCCAATAGTGAATTGGAATTTACAGGAATTCACTTAACTTCTAATTTTAGCTAGAGTAAGGCCTCATACACAACCTATCTAGAAAGAGAAGTTGGTGTAGAAATCTTGAACATTTGTTCAAGTAAGTGTGGCTGACTGCCTCTCCTCTGCCATGAGATGAGAGGAACCAAATGGTGGCATCCTACTATTACTGAGCATTTTAATAAAAAATTCTATAGCAGAACCTATAAATATAGAACATTAAATTGTCATGATCTTTTAGAGTCATGGAACCTAGGGGAACGCTAACAGCCAGAAATCAGCACCAGATTACCAGTAAGCAAGGGCTGACATGTTAACTTACCTGCAGTGAACTATTTCCGGGTTGTCCACCATAAAAAAGACATTTTCTCCTTAGTCATAAAGCAACAAAACTCAAAACTTTACAAAAACTACATACAAAGGAACTGGCAATGAAAATAGACAAGTGGTCTAGTACCTTCAGGAATTTTCAATTTGAACTATTATGCTCTAATTAGCATTTTTTAAATATGTAGTTGGCCAATAATCTAACTTTAAAAAATTGAGGAAAAAAAATCTGAAAGCAGCAATTGCCAGTGAAAGGTAAAACATGATAGAAAATATTCTTTAATCTTTTAAAAACATATAATGAACTGAATATGTCAAAGTCCTCACAGATGAATAGTCATTCCTAAATAATTTCACATTCCAACAAGGATGTCATTTACTTTAAATCACTTTAAGTGGTCCAAGACCTTACTTATATGCAGGTTACAGTTTAATGTCTGGATTTTTAAACCAAGATACAAACGACCAGTATACATTTAATCAGTGTTATTATTTCATGTACATTTACTATTCAGCTATTAGATGGGATTGCTCTAAATAGTAAATTACCTGAACATTTTCCAAACATAAAGGAGCTTCACAGTTAAACAGTACATGTTTTTTAAAAAAATTATTATCTCTACTATCTTTTCTAAGTATCTTTGCCTTTTCTAAAAATAATGTATGCATTTTCTAACTACTCTGTACACTTAGTTGGCTTGAGTTATCTAGCTAAAAATAAAGGCTAGACATGTTTTAAGATTAGCCCATAACAATGGACTCAACTTTTAAATCAAGTCTCCATACTAAAGCATCTCAACAATATTATTTGAACATGATTTTTAGGTATCATTGAGACAATTTTGATTGACAGCAACCCCCATGAATCATCTCTTGTCTAGGCTATAATCTGTAAGAAAGCACATCAAAAGGTCTTTCTCCTATGGAGATGCTGGGCAGGTTTGAGTCAGCTCATTGTGCTTAACTGTTCCATGATTCCTATGTGAACATTAAAATTTAATATTTCTACATGACACAATATAGTTTCACTGTAACAGTTCAAAGATACTCTTAAATTTTAATAACAGGAATGTCCTATAATGGAGGCTAAATCCACAAATGTATACAATTTTATAAGCAGCAGCCAATAGAAACCCTTAATCCCAGTATTTTAGAGGAACTGCACACACTATTTATAACCTAGGCACAGAAGAAAATATTTTGCTACAAGTTAATGTTTCCTTTCCACATTGGTTGTTAAGCAAACATAGGTAGAATCCCATTTTTTCTTTATAGTTACTCCATTTGCTAATTCCACATACTCCTTTCAGTTAATACAAATCATATAAATTACATAAATATAACTATCAGATAGATATCCATCATAAATCAACAACTAATTTTCTTTTCCCACTGATCATTTACTATAGTTGCTTAATAATCAGTCTTAAAAATGGTTTTCCAGGGAGCTCTGGTGGCCTAGTGGTAAGAAGCTGCACTCTAATCCCAGAGGTTTGAATCCACCAGATGCTTTGCTGGAGGAGGGACAATCTCCTATACCAGTCAGATCTGATTTGACGGTACACATACATAATAATAATAATAATAATTGGTTTTCAGAGTACTGCTTTATAGGTAACTGTGATACTGTGGGGGGGGGGAATGAAGAGAAAGCACTTAATATTAATACTAAATGCCCACGTTGGGAGAAATTATAAGCCAAGACTGTAAAGACAAATTCTGCAGTGTCTCAAAATGTCTGTGTTCTGAGCAAAATATATGTCAAGACCTGTGAAACTAAATCTTCAAACAAGTTCACTTGAGGCTTTGGAGGCTGTACTTAAAATCATACAAATTAATAGTTCACAGCAGCCATAACAAAAAACAATCTACTCCATCCAGATAGTTCTACTCTTGCTTTAAAAGTATAGAAACATATAAACACACCCAAAAATATCACCAGTGTATTTTATAAAAGAAAACTCAAATTTTATTAAGAATTTGAAATTACATTATATTTCAAATTTCTAAAATGGAATGGAACTATTTTTTAACTGGAACTAGAGGAACACTGACATCTCCTGAAATGTCAACCTTATTAAGAAAACTATACCCCTTAAGAAAAGAGGAACAATTATCTACCTTTTACTTTGGCAATAGCTATTTCCTAGAGGAATGAAATTAAGAGTGGCCCTGCTACTTTATTAAAGTACATTAAAAATGGGATTCTATCTTTTGAATGTTAAAAAAATATCTATGAAAATGATGAGCTTATGGGTATAAAACCATTAAAAAGGTCTCATCTATGTAACCAAAGTCAGTCAGAAAATGGGAGATATTAAGTCTTTTTATGAAATTCCCCCCCCCCTTACAAACTGTTTTAATTGGTTAAGGATTTCCAGTAGTTAAAACTTTAGTAGTGAAATGAATTTTAAACTAACAAGTCAAACTCTCTGCCATGAGACTGCATCTGATTCACAGCGACCCTATAGGGCAGAATAAAAGTAATCTATAGGGTTTCTAAGGCTGTAAATCATCTATCTCCCTCCCATGAGACAATTGGCAAATGAATATAGAAAATGGTATTCCCCTTCCTAGACCTTAATACTTAAGTTTTTAGAAAGGAAATTATCACTTCACCTTTAATAATTAACCCAACGTAATTTTATTAAGAATAGGAACTCCAGGTCCTTTTCTGTTACACTCTGATTAATTCAATCTCACAGTCAAAGCTTAAGTTCATCACAAAAAATTTTAACAGTAATTAGCCTGAGGTATTTTAAGTGTGGCTCTTCCCTCAAACTTAATGATAAAATTTATTTCCACTCTGCTCCTAGGGTATCTCCGTAATGTTTACAGTAAGTTATCTAAAATGCCAGGGGAAAAAAAATGGTTCTCTTTCTAGGATCTTCTGGAATAGTTCCTCACTCATTCACCTAAAGGAGCCACACAAATGTTGTCTATCCAGATCCAGAACAGAGGTACGTAAACCTTTGTTTTCCAGTCGAAAAATTTTTATCTCTGGAATAAATAAGATACTATTACTTATGGTATACTAAGTAAGTTCAAAATTTTTGAGCTTTATTGAGACTGAGTAAAATATTTCACAAAATTTAATGTAATATGCCTCAACATATCTGTGAGGTAGTTAAGTAAACAGTGCTACCCATTTTTAATACATAGGAAATGGAAGGATGGGTCAATGACAAAGAATTTGTGGCCTTTTCTCTAGTTTTAATCCAACAATGTAATTTAACTTTTCAATTTTTCTAAAAACAAAACAAAAATGTATCTCATTTAAGGTTCAGTCTTTTCTTTTACACTTATTAGACACAATTATCATCTTGTAAAGTTGGCACTTTTCTTTAATAATGTGGTAAACAGAGCACAATTATGTCAAACTATGTCTCTGCCTCTAACTAAATTAATACAAAATTAAGGCATTATCTTATGAGAACTAAATTTGTATTTGACATTTTTATTTTAGGTTGCAAAAAACAAAAACAAACAAAAACTTGAAATAAGCTTGTCAAATGAAGTCAATTCATCCTTTCCAGGGAAGCAGAAGGTAGACCCTACCACAAAAGAAAGATGCTGAGTTAATGGAAGTTAAATTTAAATGTATAATTAAATACTATGAGTTTACTAATACAGGTTTTCATTCATTTCCTTGCAGTAGCCAATAAACATACCAAGAATTAGATTTTGTTAAAATTTTGTCACCACAATACAAAAGCTGTAAGTAATCTGATGTTTATCAGATGTGGTCTTACTGGAAATTCTTAACCATATGCTTGTCTCACCAAATTATAGAAAAATAGCAATAATGAATTTTCTCTTTTAGTGTTAAGTCACTGCATTTCCATAAAGAAATAATGAAAGGCACAGATAATGCAAGCAGACTTTAAACTCATTCAACAGCTAGCTGAAAATATACTTTGGTTTTTCAGGAAAATATTTTTTTCAAATCAAGAAATTAGTTTTAATTTAATAGTTTTGTTAATTTACATACACTAAAAGCTACTAAGTACAGGATAAAAATAATCCACAAGAACCCAAACTATATAGCAATGGATGAACATGCACTAGAGAATTTGTGCATTCAACAAACATCTGACAGGAAAACCAGTTAAAACACTAGGTAGAACAAATCTGCCTTTAAAATCAGTTCCTTTCCTTTAAAAAAAAAATTACGGTGTTTACCAAGAAAATACAAAAACATAAGGCTGTAAGTAAATAATAGTTGTTTAGGCTATTACAGTGCAGAGTATTCTCAAGGCCACATACATCCTTGCTTTGCTTCACTGCTGTTTGCACTCTGCTGGGTTTTGATCCTTCTGTTAAAGGAAAGCAAAAGTTTATCATCAACCCACTTTAATGAAAATTTCCAATAGTCACTATTTTAATTACAGGATCCCAGCTCTTTCATCATGGTTGACAGATTATACAACAATGATGATAATCCATTTACTGAAACATTGACCAGCAAGTCAATGAAATGCTAAGACACAGGCCCAAGTTTCTCATATTAGAATAAACTATAAAATGAGACACACTAGACCATGACTTTTAAGTACATTAATAATTACTTCTGACATTCTAAAATCATGTATGCTAAAATACAAATTTATCTTATCTGTATCTATAGAAATATTTGAATGTTAATTGTCATTTCTTGTTCTTCATGTTCCCAGCAATTTGTAAGGCCGGGACCCCTAGGAAATGAACACTAGAAATGACAGGAGAGTCTACCTTGATCCTGAGCAATACTGCATCCATAGCTTTAAAAATGTACATGCACAAAAAAGGTTTTCTTTGGAACAAAATCAGTCTAAAAACAGAGAAAGCACTATCACTTTTTAAATGCTCAAAAACTGTTAATAATGCCAAAGATAATGTGACAATAAAATAGAATCTAAGTTTATTTCCTGAAACTAAGACACAAGGTAAGGTCTAAAAAGATTATTTCCAAGGGAAGGTGCATCGGAATCATTTCCACTGTTCAAATGCTGTGAGTGAGTGGGAGAGATGGGGACAAAATATCCATTATCCAGAAAGGTCTTATTTTAGTATCCTTAGTTTTGCTCACCTTTACGTCATAGTCTGGATCGTTTTCCTCATCTCCTTCCTCTTCCCCTTCCTATATTAAAGTTCAAAACGCATCCATGAAGTAGGTACAGTATGAAGAAATGGCTCATATTGTAGGGAGAACTTAATACAAGTTACTCTATAGGTCAACAGATTTTCATGATTACAGAGTTTGGTGATAATGCAATTTAATCTGAAAGCTTCTAATATGAAAATTTCAACACAACTCGAGACATCCAGACAGCTTTTATTGAAAAGATTTACTGCAGCCAACGTTGAAAAAGTTTACTGCAGCTTTTGACTTCTTCAAAGAGCTGATAACCCTGCAGCAGAACAGAATTATTTGAAATAAAAAGAGTTGCTGAGTTTTGCATATACTTATTGAAACCTTATACATATATTGTTTGGCTGTAGAATACTAAAATCTTATTTATTTTTCAATTTTAAAAAACATTTTGCCCCAGATGACAGAACAATTATTATGACATTTCTCAATTATGAAACAGAATTATTTGCTCATTTAGTAAACATTACCTCATCTGCTTCTTCACCTTCTTCATCATACTAAAAGGAAAAAGAAAATTAAGTTTGAGTGTAACACAAATAACCCAGAAAATTATCACCTTTCATAAATGATCCCAATAGTAGCTAAAAGAATAGCTTTCCTAGGGTGACTGAGTGTATGTAACACAAGACAAAAAGCTCAACAGTTAATGCAATTCAGTGGCATTTACACATGACAATGAATATAATCAAAGAACAGCAGTCATATAGATAAAAATGAAATCAGACAGTATGAAGAAATGGCTCATATTGTAAGGAGAACTTAATACAAGTTACTCTATAGGTCAACAGATTTTCATGATTACAGAGTTTGGTGATAATGCAATTCCTTGACAGTACTTATACTGGAAGAGATAATAGAATAAGCACTTAAAGGTGTCAACATAATCATTTAATACTGTTGTTGTTGTTATGTGCCATCGAGTTGCTTGCGACTCATAG